TGTGAACTCTGTATATTCTAAATATTGATTCATTATTATTATTTTTTTTTATTATGGCCCAAGCATGATGGCACATGCCTTTAATCCCAGCACTTGGGAGGCAGAGGCAGGCAGATTGCTATGAGCACATGGAGGTCAGAGGACAACTTGCAGGAGTCAGCTCTGTCTAACATATGGGTTCTGGGAATCAAACTTTGGTCATCAGGCTTGGTGACATGCACCTTTACCTGCTGAGCCATCTTGTTGGCCCTTAAATATTAATTCTTATTATTTATACTTAGTTTTGTTTCTTAATGTGATTTATTTATTTATTATTGTTATTCACAGGTTTTACAATTTTAGCTTGGTCTTGTGTGGATTATCTATTTCTGGTTAATTTTGTAAGAGTGCTTTCAGAGTTACTTAAAAGGAGTAGTTGTTTGTCGTCTTTTATGTGGCTACTCGATCTTCTGTCAGCTTGATTGGACTTTTTAGAATTATGTACTCTACAATCATAGAATGGTTAAGCTAGATGGCAGTTAATCATGAGTTTTTAACCTTCAGTATTTAGAGAATCTAATCAATCATATATTTACAGAGTAAATGTAGATTTGTTGACTGTTTAGGCAGTAGATGAAAAGTATATTCAAGAACTGCACCAGCTGTGGTGCCGCAGCCCTGCAGTCAGCACTCCCGAGGTGAGTTTGAGTTCCATGGAGAAATTATGTCTTTAAAAAAAAAGGAATAAAAACAGAGGCCTCCATTTCTAAATACAGTGAATCTGGCTGATAAATTAAGAAATGTATGTTTTAAATTTATCTAGTGCTTTAAAAGCAATTCATGTTTGGAAGTTAATTTTTCCATGTGCTGTTAGTCATTTACAACACCACCTTCCAATGTCTTGATGTCTCCCTGAAGTCCTAGCTGACCTGGAACTCATTATGTAGACCAGGCTGGCCTCAAGCTCACTGAGATCCACCTGTTGGGATTAAAGGTGTGCACCACCATGCCCGGCTTGCAACAGTGAGTTTTAAAATGTTATTTCAAATCACAGGTCATTTGCAAAAATTGTATCAGGCCCTTTTTGATTATATAGATTCTACTTTATTGTTGATTTTCTTCTCAAATTCCACTATGCAGATGGAAAGTACTTTTGGGATTTGTGAAGCATTTCAGCATTTTGTTTTTATGGCTTAAATGATTTTTAAACAATTGCTTTTAAGCAACCTGTTATCTGATAAATATTTGGTTTGTTGATAGATCAATAGTAAATTTCTCAACTTGCATTTAGAAATGAGTTCAGTATATTTTCCAGTCTTTCACATAGGAAAGGAACATTTACAAAGTTAATGGAACATTGTATTCCTTTAAGTTTTGGAAGATGAAATGCATTAAAATATTATAAAACATATAAGCCAAATCATCTGCAGTTATTAAGAATGTATAGCTAAGCTGATTTTAATAAATCATGAAGGAAAAGACTTCATTTCCTTTTCACTGGTGGCATACAGCCTATGTTTTCCCAGATCAATAGATAAGAAAAACATGGGTTTCCCATAGCTGTTTAATTGATAAAACACAGCTTGGGGATGGGGGGGTTGCATATCTGATACACTTAGGCTGAGACCGCATTTGGGGACAGGGTTAGCAAACCACTCCCACAGTTATGGTTTATGCTTACTTAGTGGGACAAAGGAGAATGATGTTCTCCTGTATTTCTTTTTCTCTTGGCTTGGAAAGACCTATTCATTACAAACTGATCACACACCAAGTTTCAGTGTTTTATTTTCATTTGGAAGGAATATCTGAACAAAAATCCGTATCAAGTTAGGATTTCGACCCTAGTACACTGACAGGAAATTTATTTTTTGTGCATATGTGGCAATGTTTGGAATGAAATATCACATTCATTTTTAATTCTCCACCTGTGTCTTTCTTATGGGCTTTATTTTGCTTTTTCAAGTTTGATATCCTATTGTTCAACATGAACAATAAATTTCTAGGGAAATATATATTCTAAAGGAAAGTGTATGTGATCATATAGCCCTTTTCTCTACCAGTTTTTTTTCAAAATGCTAGTAACTGAGTTTTCTGGAAATGATTTCTATTTATTTTGAGACAGGGTCTTCCAGTAACCCCAGCTGGCCTAGAACTTGCTCTGTAGACCCGACTGGCCTTGATCTTATAGAGATCTGCCTGCCTCTGTGTCTCAAGTGATGATTAAAGGTGTGTGCTACCACACCCCACCTAGAAATGATTTTTAAGGGGCTGGGTAAATATGTTTGGGGATGATTAGTACAAAGAGAAAGTCAAAGTAGGGAACGCATGTCCCTATCATGCATTTAATTTCCTGTGTCATTTGGAGATATATATCAAACGCTAGTTGGAATTCAAATAGGGCCATTGAGTTTATAAGTCTGAAACTTAGTAGAAGTTTCTTTCTGATAAGCTGTTTTGTATTTGTATTTAGTCTGCTGTGAGTGAGTTTGCTCCATCTGGGTCCCTTCTTGGCTTTATTCTCATCCCACAGCTCCATGCAGGCATTCTGTCTGCTTCCTGATCACTCTTAGGATGCTTCCTGTGGATCAGATCTTGTAAGTGGAAAATTACTACTATGATATGCGTTAGCTTTGGGTATTTCCTTCTTCGTGTAGTCATCAGTAAATCAGAAGAGTGACAGATATGGGAGATGGAGGGTGTGAACTCTAAGAAGGTATCACCAATGACAACACTACTGTCTTTAAAATCAGTCCTAAAGAGTTCCCAGCACAGAGACTCTTTCACCACTTGGTTTGCGGCATCGGATATCGGGTTTGGGAATCAGTGGATGAATGTCTGGGAGCCACTTGAGTCCTGGGTGGCGAGTTCCCAAAAGTGAGAGCTCTTTGTGACGTTCTGTCCTCGGAATAGTGTGCTTTACTTCAGGTTTCTTGAATTTAGTCTTGACAAGAAAACTCTTGAGCCTGTAAATGAATATTATTATTACTAATGGATAATAGCTGAAGTTTTGGCTCAATGTCTACATTCACTCAACAGCATGAGCAGTTAAAAAAAAAATATGCTCACTGACCTGAAAAAAAATTATTTTCAAGACATCGTTTGAAGCCTTTTCAATGGATTATTACATGTCTTGGGGTATAATGCTTAAAATCCAGGACTTTAAGTCCTAGGTCTGGGTGATATATGTACCATAGTAATTCTTTACATTATCTGTTATGAAGGAAAAACTTTGGAAAAAGACCTGGTTCTTTACAACAAAGGGAGTTTCAAAGTAGCTTTTGTTGCTCAGCAATTCAGATATTCTATCTTGTGTGCCCCCCTCACCAACATCCTGTTTCATCACAAATACTTATCGTTTTATTCTTCAGTTTTCCACCTGTCTTGTGGGTTCTGTTGCTGTCACTCAGCAAAAGATGGACATGCTTGTGTCCAAGCTCAGAAGGTCTTGAGCATTATACTGTTGGAATGGTCGTGCCATTGAAACAGATAGTGGGGCTATTTAAGTAGATGCTTGAATCATCAATAGCAGGCACATTGTTGCTAGCCATTATGAAAACAGACATACTGTTTGTGGTGAGGGAAAAAAAAGGTGTCCAATAGTTGAAGATGTCACCCAGAGGTTTTGGAAGCATTAACATCTAGGATGAAAATTTGCTATGAAAACACGAATCATCATTGAAAAAGAGCAGTCTAAGGCTGGGGAGATAACTCAGTGGGGAAAGTGCCTGCTCTACAAGTGTGAGGACCTAAGTTCAGATCTTAGCATCTCTGTGACAGTATGTACCTTAACCCCAGCTCTCTGAGGGTGGAGGCAGCTGGATTCCTGGGACCTCCTGGACAACTAGCTAAAGCAGTGACCTCCAGGTTCAGTGAGAGACCCTGTCTTAAAAAAAAAAAAATTAAGTGAAGCCACGTGTGGTGGTATACGCCTTTAATACCATTACTCGAGAAACAGAGGTAGGCAGATCTGTGTGAGACTGAGGTCAGCCTGTTCTACATAGTGAGTTCTAGGCCAGCTGGGGCTACAGGGAGACCCTGTCTCAACAAACTAACTAACTAACTAAAACAAAATCATTAAATGAGAAGAGATAGAGGAACACACCTGACATGGATCTCTGGCCTCCACAAATGTATAATGGGTGAACAAACCACCCTCCAATGCACGCACACAGACCCCATTGTGCTCACACCTACATAGACACATTCATACACCATCCATAAACAAAAAGAAAGAATGAAAGAGAGAAAAAGAAAGGAAGAAAAAGGTTGGTTTATTTGGATGACTGATTAACAAATTTAAAGAATTTAGTTTGCATGAAAGTTCATTTGGTATTAATGAGGTACTCATTTTTTTATACTCTTTGATAAAATAGAAAATACAAGATTGACATGGTAGCATTCTGTTTAGTTCCTAGAGGACTGACTGTTTTGAAGAGTTTGGACTGGGAATTTTGTAGACTGAAGTTATGAGTTGGGTGTAGACTACCACAAAAGTGAGGTGCTCATTTTGCGTTTTGTTAGGGGGGATTTTCACATTGGCATGCCTCCACACCGTGACATCAACCTGGATTACTTGGTAAGGTAGCCTCCACTGTAAAACCACTACTTTTCTCTTTCTGAATTCTGTGCTTTAAATGGGGTAAGAATTATACTTTCTTGAAGGGGGTGGATAGCAGCACATTTCATTGATTGGTTGATTTCAGTATGAACTCATGGGTATCTGTTTTATTCTTGGGGTTATCATCCAGTGCCACTACAATTTATCTTGCTGCTTATTAGTTATTTTATAACTCTAAGACTTTTTATTTTGCTGAGTACTGTGGTAGTCCACATAGTTTGGCTCAGCAGGTGTTACCCTCCCGGTTGCTCCTCCTTCTTCCAGAACTCCACGCTTATACTCTCATATTTCAAACCCATAGCTTCAGTTCCTCAGCCCTGGTTAACATTAAAGACATCTTTGTAATCACATTTTTATGTATGCACTGTGAGAGAAGTCATAATACGAAACTTCTTGTCAGCAGATTGGTGAATTTACCTGAGAAATTGAGACTCAAGATTATGAGGACATGTGGCTAGGACCGAAAGCAGATTCCCAGGTAGGAACACAAACATCTTTTTTCTTAACTTGTGCTTGTTTTTGCAAAAGCCCAATCATCATTTTCTTAGGAGATGCAAAAATCCAAAAAGGAGAAATGATAGAGATACTGAGTTTATGTTCTGTGTCCTTTTCCAGATTCTTTACTAATTTCCAAACAACAGGGTAAGCTGAGCTTTGAAATTAGATCCAGAAGGAATGTCCACAGTGTATCTGTATTTGCAAACATCTTCTAGATATGGTTTTGATTCTTGAAGCCTATAGAAGAGCAGTGGTCAGAATATAAATGATATTAAGACTTACTGTGCTCGTGACTATATCTTCTGGTCATAAGATGTTTGATGTTTCTCAGTATATTTGTTAAGTATGGATTTGCTTATATTTTACATTTCCCACAAACTGCCCTAGATGCTATGAGGTCATAAACTGTGTCCACCAGAAGGGCCACGGAGGGTTCCTTTGACCTATGGGTCTTATAAAAGCAAGGATAAGTTTGCTAGCTGCTTTTATTGTGCTAAGCTTATGAGGCTGAAGGAACACAAAGACATGGGAAAATGTGAAACACAGGTGAAGTTAGTTATGCAGTGATCCTTACCTCTTCTATCCAAACTATAAAAGTGATGCAATGCTTCTATCCAAACTACAGAGGTTTCAGCTCCATGGCAACACCTAGTCTGTCAGAGGGTGTGAGTACGCAAATGCATTCAAAGCATGGGGTTGGGGGTGAGTTTGTGCCTGAGAAAACTCAGCACTCCAAGTCTTGCCCACACATTTTTGTGTGTGTACGATGATCAGGCCTGATAGGCATCCATGTCGGCTGCCCTCTAGGATTGTTCACACTTGCAGGCCTGGCCACTATCCCACTAGTAAGGAGGCAGGGAAGTCATCTCTCAAGAACGCTACTGCAAGAAAACTGCTCTTCTCTCTATTCTTGGAATGTCAGCACGGCTACTGCTTTTCTGGGTGTCTTTGGGGGTATTCGGCTGCTGACTTCCAGTCTTATTCCTGGCAATGCTGTTAAAGCATAGCTTTCTATACTAAGTGTAGGGGCTGCTGACCACTGCATTTGGTTTTCTCCCTTGCGGGAAGAGGCTTTTTAACCTTTGTGGGAAGGGTCCCCTGCCTTTTACCAAAATGCCACGTGGCCATGAAGTGAGTAGTGAATTAGGTATTCCTGGTCACACTGTCTTGGCCTCTTGCTTGACTCTCTGACGTCATTCCTTCCTTCACTAGGCTTCACAGCCATACCTGCCCCCAGCAGTCCCAGCTACCCTTTGCTTTTTTTCTTAATCAGGACAGATGACACCACTGTGTTATTGTCTACCTGTCCATGTTCCTGTCCTCATCTTAGAAATAATAGAACAATCTGAATTCTACTTAGCCCAATCCAGGCGATAAAGAGAATACTCTGTTCTTTCCTGGTTGCTCTGAGCACAATCTTTAAAAAGTCTCAGACTACTTGGGTATTGATGATCCTCTTCACTATGTTCAGAGATTAGGGGTGAAAAAACATGTTCTATTCAATATGGATTTTTTTTGTGTGTGATAGTCTTGAAATATAAGTCAAGCTGGACTGGAACTTGACATCCATTGAAATGCTCCTGCGTCAGCCTCCCAAGTGCTGGGATTATAGGCATGTGCCACCATATTCAGCCTTAACATGGATCCTTACTCTTGGTTCACCCTGAATTTTATCCTTGGCTAGAATCTTGGATGGCTCTGGAGGCAAAAGGAGACTGCTAAAGTGAGGCTGAAGAGCGATGCCATTATGCTTTGGAAAATACTCCACGAAAGCCAAATGCTGTTTTCACATCTTACTTAGGGCTACTCCCCAATAGATTCCCAGTGAGAAATGGCCTAATCTTCCAAGATTGTTTCTGTGCGGTGTGTTCTTGTTGGATTTACTTAAAAAGGAAATTGGGACTGGGGAGATGGCTCAGTTGGTAAAGTGTTTGCCCCACAAGCACAAGGATCTGAATTTGTGTCCTTCAAACCCATGTAAATGCAAGATGGGCTTGATGACTTGCCTGTAATTCCAGACTCAGAAGATAGAGACAGTGGATTCCCAAAGCAAGCTGGCTAGCCAGACTCGGCTCACCGGTGATTGACTGAGATACCCTGCCTCCAAGAATAAGGTGTTAAGAGTGATCAAGGAAGACTCCTGACATCATCCTCAGGCTTCCATGCACACACACACACAGACACAGACACAGACACACACACACACACACACACACACACACAGAGACACAGAGCTAAGCACAGAACTGTTGTCATACACATATGAACATGCATACATATAATCACGCATAGTACATACACAAACATACAAAAAGAAGAAGGAACAGGAAGAGAGGAGGAAGAAGAGGGAAGAGGAGGAAGAAGAGGAGGAGGAAGAAGGGGAGAAGGAAGAAGAAGAAGGTAGCAGCCAGGTGTGGTGGTGCACACCTGTCTGTAATCCTAATGCTAGGGAGGCAGACATAAGAGGATCCCCTGGTGCTTGCTGGCCAGCTAGTCTTGTTGAATTGGTGAGTTCTAGGTTGGTGAGAGAACTTGTCTCAAAAAATAAGGTGGAGCCAGTCATGGTAGCTCAGGCCTTTAATCCCAACACTCATAGATAGAAGCAGACAGATCTTTGTGAGCTTGAGGCCACCCTGATCTACAAAGTGAGTTCCAGGATATCCAGGGCTCTATAATAAGACCCTGTCTCTAAAAAAGGGTGGAAGGAAGAAAACAATAGAGGAAGACACTTAGTATCAACCTCTACATGTACATGCACATATGAAGATATTTATACATAGCACACACAGAAACAAAAATGAAAGAGAAATTCTTTGTGGCTAAGATTACTTAAACATGCACAGTTATAGTTCCTTTATTAATTCATTCAGGGTTTTTTGTTTGTTTGTTTGTTTTGGGGTCTTTTTGAGACAGGTTCTCCCTGCAACCCCAGCTGCTCTGGAACTTGCTATGGAGACCAGATTGGCCTCACTGTCACAGAGATCCTGTCTTTGCCTCCTGAGTGCTGAGATTAAAGGAGTGTACCATCCCAGTATTGTTTAGATGTTTTTGACTTTCTTTTGTGTGCTGGCCTAGGCATGCAAAAATGACCACATATGTATATGCCCCTGAGACCTAATGTTTTGCAAGTGAAAAGTGTATACTGCCAAAAAAAATCACACTACATTATGAAGGTGACTGTAGGAGATGAGACGTATCCACTAAACTTAGCTGTAACGTGAAAGCAATGCTCCAGCTTTACTTGAGGGGTTGAACAGGTTACATCTTGCAGGATGGGCAGGAATGTGGTGGCCAGCAGGGAGAAGAGCATTCTGGGGATATAAAGTGCTGGCGTGTAAACAGCGGAGACAGGGACACAACAAGGCACTTTCCAGCGTGAGTAGCACGTCTTCACGTGGCTGGATCACAGGGCAGATAGAGGAGTGGAGTTACAGTGGAAGGATCTGAATGGACGGCTTGGCTGTGACCTGTCAATCATGATATGCCATAATGGTGCATTAACCTCTATCCTGTATGCAAGGAATAGAGACATGCTCAGATTTGCGTTAGAGACATACTCAGACTTGGATTTAATTTTTTTGATTTTAAAAACATTATTTACTTTTATTTTATGTGTGTGGATGCTTTCCTGTATGAATGTAGGTGCACCCATGCATGCAGTGCCCATGGACGCCAGAAGAGGGTGTTTAATCCCTTGGAACTGGAGTTATAAACAGTTGTTAGCCACCATGTGGGTGCTGAGAAACAAGCCCCAGCCTTCTGCAAGAGCAGCCAGTGCCCTTAACTGCTGAGCCATCTCTCCAGCCCCAGATTTGCATTTTAGACATAACTTGCAGGGAACATCACTGAAAAGAATTAGAGGAAACTAAGTCTGGATTTGGGAGATACGGCATATAGGCAATTACAGTATTCTTCCAAAGAAAGGTAAACTTAAGGCTTGGGCTAAGGCTATGATATTGAGAATAATGTACACAGGACAGATTGTCAGGTTTGAGAAACAGCACTGAGTGATAGGGTCAGTGTAAAGACCAAGAGAGAAAAAAGCAGTTCCTAGGACTACAGCTTGAGGGACAAGGTAGACCATGGCACGATTGCTCAGGGCAAGGAAGACGAACAGCCCTTTGAGAGATGCCGTGACCCATACTGTACATTTGTTGAATCTGTGGTCATATATGGTCTGTGGTTTTGAATTAGGAATGACCTGAATTTTTTACTTTCCAGCTTCTCAGTGTGTGCTGGACTGTATGTTACTTTATGTCTGGCATTGTTGGTTTTCTGTTCTGTCAGGTTCTGATAATAATAACTAATATTCAGGCTGCTTGTGAGAGGTGAAAGCGATAATTTATATACAGTTCTGGACTCAAAGCCAGTGTTCCATTAAGGGGCAGATTATTATCACTGCAGTGTCCTTAGGTAGATTCCAAGTCCTGGAGCCAAGCAAGTGGGCTAAAAATGCAGAGTTCAGGATCAAGAAGATAAAAGAGAAGAGAGTTGGCCAGTGGCACTGAGACTGTAGGCCCATTGCTCACTCAGAATCATTTGTTGAGAGCAGGTGTGTGCCAGCCTCTGTACAAAACTGAGGGGAGCTGAGGTGATGGAGGCTTTGCCTTTGGCCTCAAGGACCTTAGAGTCTACAGCATGGGATAGGGAAGGAAACCAAGAAGTTTTTGACTGAAGAGAGGACCTTGGCAAATCAAGTCTAGATTTTTGTGTGTAATAAAACACACAGAAGAGGATGTAGACAGTTTTATAACCTGAACAGCAGATCTGCCACAAGCCAGAATACGGTGAGCATTCCAAAAGAATTTATTTCTTTTGTCCTTTTTAGTCACTGTGGAACCGACAGGTAGCTGTCATCCTGACTTTCACACTGTCTAACTTAGCTTTGCCTGTTTTTGTAATTTATAGCTATGAGATCATATGCTCTGCTTTCACTCGATGTATGTTAGAGAGATTAATTCATGTTATGTGTGCCACTTA